GGGGAGGTAGCGTGTATTTCTTGTACAATTTTCCCGAAATATATTTGGATTGTTTTTCGATATTATATGGGGTATTCGCTTGTATTTTTGTGTAATTTCTTGTATTTGAGCATGCATGATTTTTCGAGCTGTCATTCCTTCAAGTGAGACGCACTACCCAGCAGCCCCGAGAGAAGGGTCACACACTGACTTTATATTCGAGGACACTCCATAATTCTGATCACACCCGTATGCGCAGCGCACCCAACCATACCCCCCGGGGTGAGCGATAGAGTTTGGGACCTTTCGAGTCGAGCACCCCCGCCACCACCCAACAACCACCGCACTCACGACCATCATGACTCATGAAAAGATTATTAAACGTTTTAATATTTCATATCGGAAATGGGGAAAACCCACACACTCCACCCCCTCGCGGGTGCAATGTGCTGCAGCCCGTACCCCAGAGAGGACCACCCGCCGGGACGGGGCGAGGGGGCACTTACATGGGGCATTACTAGTCCTAGGGCGTGCCTGTCACCCTCTAAAAAATTAATAATCATTAAATTAAACACGCGTTCACGCCCTCGCCGAAGGTACAAGAGACATTTATATACTCTGGAAACTCATGTGTTAATCTGTTACAAATAGTCCGTAATTAAAATTAACGAGCATTATTCGTCAATTTTGGTGACTAACTATTCATACCGGTACAAAATCAAACTGTATTCGTAACATAACGATTTAATAGCTTTATTAGTGTCAATTTATTACGATATTGGAATATTTCATTCAAAAATTCTTGTGTCCAGGATAGTTTTATTCAGGACAACAACCGAGTTGCAAACTGTTCGTCAAGAATGTGTTCGTTATGAGGATTCGCATGCGCTAAAGCGCAAAACCCTCTAGGGACCGGTCCGTTTGTTTAGAACAATGAAGAGTTTGTGTAGAAAAATAAACAGGACATTATTCGTCAAATTACGAAGTAATTTGAAACAGTTGGCCATGGTGTTATCGGTTAAACATTTTCTTAGGGCAGGTGTAGCGCGTATGACTTTTCACTCATTCCACGAAAGCGTGCAGCTGTGTAAAGAAAAACGCCACGCGCCTAATCGTCCGATACTCTTATTTGCGCTCAATGTTCGACCGGCTCGCTCGTATAAAAAGGTACTAGACACTCCCAAACAGCACTTGCCTCCTTCGGTCCTTCGGCTAAACAAAAATGAAGCTGCTCATCGCCGTCCTCCTCGTAGCCTGTGCCTTCCAGGTAAGCTGATTGTCGTCGGTCGTCCCCGAGGAGATCTCCGCCGTGCACTACATGCGCCTCTTCGCCCCGCAGGCCGGCGCCGTCCCCCTCATCATCGGCAGGGTGCTCCACACCGGCGTGAACGCGGCGCGCACCGCGGCCCACGCCGGCATCGACGCCACGGCGGCCGCGGCCGACCACCTCGGGGCCGCGGTGCGCGGCGGCCTCGCCGTCGGCGAGAAGGTCGCTGAGACCGGCCTGTCCCTGGGCAAGAAGACCGTGGCCAAGGGGGTGTCCGTCGCGACCGGCGCCACCAACCTCGTGGAGGGTGTGGCCGACCGCGCCCTCGACGCCTCGCAGAAGGTCGTCGACAAGGTGAGGTCTTTTCCTTCACTTTCTGGCTGTCCGCCTCTCTCTCTCTCTCTTTCTCTCTCTCTCTCTCTCTCTCTCTCTCTCTCTCTTTCTCTCCCTCTCTCGAAACCGAACGGATTGCTCATGTGATGCAGACGGCGGCTGCTGCCCGCGGAGGTATCGACGCCGTGCAGCAGGTCGCCAACAAGGTCCACCTCGACACCGTGGGGCGCCTGGCAGGCACGGCGGCCCGCGCCGGCGTTAGCGCCGCTGAGGGCGTCGCCGACAAGGGCATCGCACTCGGACACGTCGCGACCGACCTCAACGCCGGCCTCGCCAACGTGGCCATCGACACCGTCGACAAGGTGAGGCGATTGCACCGTCCTCGAGGCCGTATTGTACGGTGGTCCAGCAAACACTCATTATTGTGCGCCCCACAGGTTGCCAATGTCGGCATCGACGCCGCGCAGAAGGCCACCGACGTCGCCATTGACCTCGCCCGCACCGGCGTGGATGCCGGACAGTCCGCCGTGGCTACTGGCCGCAGCGCCGGGCACGACGCCACCAACCTCGTCGCCGACGCCGCTCACAATGCCCTCAACGTCATAGGTTGATCGTGTCCCTTGCACTTATGATTGTAATGTTAACTGTGCCAACTGTGTTAACATGAAACAATGAATAAAGACTTGGATCAGAGCGGACGTTGCAGTGTTGCTGATTATCCCTCCGGCCGGCCCCTGCGGCCCAAGATCATCATTGGGCATGCATCTTACCCTACGCAAAATGCCAAGTGGCACAGTGACACAAGTTCAAATCGGTCCTTCGCTGGAAGCCAAAGAAAAGTTTCTACCGAAAACTGGACAACAAGTTTTTGGACGCAGAGACGCAAGTGCACCGAAGCATATCTCATTCCAAAACTCCTTCCTTTCCAGGAGGACGCGCTGTCCAGCCCAGCAGCAGCTCCCCCACTCCAGCCAGACTCCAGGCGTCCTGGGGCGCATTAACATGACCGCATTATAAATCTCTGCCCCTCTCGCTCCAGGCGTCCTAGCGCTGCCGAGGCCAGTGTGCTATAGCTGTGCGAAATCCAAAAGTCGATGTCTCGATGTATAGACCAGCATTTCTAACATGACTCGATGCATCTAGTTTCGACATTTTTGAGCGATGCCGATAATATCGTAATTTTAGGGCCGGTAGACGACAGGCCTTTAAACCGTCGATTTCGATATGGGGATGGGGGGCATATAGGAGAGCCCTCGATATCAAAGGTTCGTACGACCTGACGCAGCCTTAGCCAGACAGGCCTAGGGGGCCGGGGCCAGGAGGTCACTCCGAAGAGACAGGGAAAAATGAAGCCACTCAAGACGCAGCGCGGCCCCGAAGGGGTGCGCGAGGAGGGTACCCTCCCAGGTAGATGCCACAGCCTCATACGGTACCGGAGATAACAGAAATAAAAAATAAGGTAATAACAATATGATACGCCGTGAAACAATAACATCACTGTAACAACACACACACAGACACCGGAAGGAAAAATTATTAACCCTCCCTTTTACTCGGGGCTAAGGCTCCGCTTTGGTATAAACCCTTTCCCCTTCGTGGGAATATGATTGGGGCCCCAGAGTAGCCCTGCCTGCGGCCTTGCGGGCCAGGCAGGGCCCGTGACTGAGGTGGCTGGAATGTCCGGGGGTACCCGCGTATACCCGTGAGTGCGAGTGAGATGCACGGCTCGACGCCCTCTCTCTCTCTCTCTCTCTCTCTCTCTCTCTCTCTCTCTCTCTCTATCCAACAACTACTGTACGGCCGCCAAGCCGTGTACAGAAAACACCTCACAGCATCATTACCCAGATCGGATCTGCAACACAACCTGCCTTGGTCCAGGTACGCCCTTTAAACTGGCGGGATGCGCCGCGCGGCGCGTCTTTACTCCTCCAAACAAACGACGACGACGTCGTCGGATTCAAAAACCCATCTCCTCCGTGAAGCAGCCAACGCGGGGCAGCCCGCACGTCCACAGGATGCTGCGGTTAGACATCCTAGAAGAGCGACGGACGCTTCACGCCGGCGATCCATCTTCCTTCAGTGCAGGGCGTGACAGAGAGCGCTTCCCTAATCTCAGCCCCCCCATCTCATTACGGGTGTTGATGCTGCTGGCGCCGGGGCGAGGCCTTTCCTTAGGCTTTTAAAGATGGCCGCCGTGAGCCTTGACCGAGCCGCGCGCCTGTACCCGTGTTTTTGTTGATGTTGTCTCAGGGCGAGCCCGATTTCGAGGTAATATTAGCATTGGAAAGATGCGCGCGGCTCGGCCGGCCTTCTCTTCGCTCAGCCTCGTCCTTGTCCCCACCCACCACCCCCCCTGGGCCGGGACGAGACGGTCCTCTGGCGGAACCCTTCCAAGGCCGACGGGGTGACCCCTCGGCTTCTATTGTGGAGGAGGACGAGCAGCGAAGGCTGCTGTATTGGTGGTGATCGGTGAGGACCAACCAATAAAAATATTTTCACCGAACGGCGGATAAATCTGTCCGAATTTGTATCGCAGCGTCGCTGAGTTGCGTCGGCGGGACAAAAGGATTTCTGTGTAATAAGAAAGTTTA